AAGAAATCAGAGGGCAAGCGGGGATGGTAGCCAAGGTCGAGGTAGAAAGGGGACATGCCAGTGGAGGGGCAGACAACATTGTTGTAGGCAATTTCGGCAGCTGTGAGCAACTGATCCCAATCGTGTTGGTGTGGATGACAATACTTCCGTAGGATTCTTTGGAGTGTATCGTTCATCTTCTCTGTTTGTCCATCGGTCTGTGGGTGGAATGCAGTGCTATACTTGAGCGTGGTTCCGTAGGCCGTGAATAGGTGTTTCCAGAATTGTAAGAGGAAGCGAGGATCACGATCACTGATGATGTTCTCGGGGAGGCCGCGATGGCGAGCGACATGGTCGAAGAAGAGTATGGCGACGTCTTTGGCACTGTGCGAGGTCGTGCAAGGGATGAAGTGAGCACGTTTGGTCAAGCGGCAGACAATGACGTAGATGCAATCATGCCCGCGGTCGGTCTTGGGGAGGCCGCACACGAAGTCCATGGAGATGGACTGCCACYGGTGAGTTGGGATGGGCAATGATTGGAGCTTGCCGGGTTTGGCCCGGTTCGAGGGGTTGACAGCTTGGCACGTGGGGCACGAACGAATGTATGCCTTAACGTCGGCGAGTAAGGAAGGCCAGTAGAAGTAGCGGGAAATGGTGTCGAAGGTTTTCTGGAAACCGAGATATCCTACGGTCTTGGCGTCGTGGTGCTCGGCCAAGAGCTGAGTACGGAGGCCTCGTGCGTCGGGGATGCAAAGTCGGCGAGTGCCTTTGGTATCGATGTAGAGGAGATTGTTGTGGAGGGAGTAGTCCGGAACTGGGTCAAGATCGCGGAGTTTGTTGTAAATGGTGGCGAAGTCTGAGCAGGAGAGATAGCCTTGGGTGTATCGATGATGAAGTGATGGAAGGAGTTGAATATGAGTCATGGCGGCGTAGACTTTCTCGGGGGGCTTGTGGTCGGGTCGTCGCRAGAGGGCATCGGCAACGCGGTTGCTTTTGCCGGGGGTATGGCAAATGGTGAATGTGAACTGGGCAAGGAAGTCTAGCCAGCGGGCTTGGCGTGGAGTGATATCTTTCTTGGAGAGGATGGAGGAGACGATGGTGTTRTCAGTGCGGATGGTGAMGTATTGCCCGTCGAGGTACGGGCGCCAGACTGTGAGGGCGTGAATCACGGCGAGGAGTTCCTTCTCGTTGGAGGGGTAATTCATCTCCGCGGGAAGGAGCTTCTTGCTTGCGAAGGCGATAGGGTATTCGTCAGGTAGAGCCTCTGGGTGAGTGGACGAGTCCTTGATGGGGGGGGTCTCAGCGGTGTCGCGGGGGAAATGTTGGGACAGTACGGCTCCGATGGCGAAGTCGGAGGCGTCAGTGGTGACATAGAAATGGCGAGTGGGGTCGGCGATCTTGAGGACAGGGGCCGTGGTGATGGTTTGCTTGAGTAAGTCGAAAGCTTGTTGGCGGCGATCGTTCCAATGGAAAGGCTCGTCCTTGCGGGTGAGTTCGTGGAGAGGGTACGAGATCTCGAAAAAGTTGCGAATGAACGGGCGGTAATAGTTGGCAAGGCCAAGGAAGGAACGGAGTTGGAGGAGGGTCTTGCGTGGGGGGTACTCGACGAGGGCTGTGACCTTTGAGGGGTCCATACGGATGCCTTCAGCGGAGACAATATGGCCGAGGTATTCGATGCTCGAAGTGGCAAACGTACATTTGCTGAGCTTGGCATAGAATTTTTGCTCTCGGAGGATTGCGAGGACTTGGCGGAGGTGCTGAAGGTGGTACTCGAAGGTGGGGCTGAAGACAAGGATGTCATCAAGGTAGACAACGACACAGACTTCGAGGAGGTTGCGGAAGATGTGGTTCATGGTGGATTGGAAGGTAGCGGGGGCATTGGTGAGTCCAAATGGCATCACGAGGAAATCGTAGTGCCCGAACCGAGAGCGAAAGGCGGTCTTGTGAGTGTCCTCCTCGCGGATACGGATCTGGTGGAAGCCACTACGAAGGTCGATCTTGGTAAAGTACTTGGCTCCACGGAGACGATCAAGGAGCTCGAAAATCCGAGGAAGGGGGTACTTGTTCTTGATCGTGATCCGGTTCAAGGCGCGGTAGTCTGTGCACATGCGGAGTTCCGAAGTTCCACCTTTCTTGACGAAAAGGCAGCTGGTTCCGAAGGGGGATGAAC